TCACATATACTGAATGACTGTTGTTGCCAGTGAACAAGAAAAGATGCAGGCCTTACCTGAACCCTGGTGAGCTCAGTTTACTGTTCAATTGCTTCATTCTTCCCCCCACAGACTGACACTAATGTTGGGCCAGGCCACTCAGGTCCTCTTCTCACATCAACAGGGTTGGTTGCACTTTATTTAGGTTAACAATATGAAACTCCAACCAATCCATCACAGTCTCAACAGAACAGCAGCAGCCCTCTTGTCTGTTCCTGTCTCTTCTCTCTCTGTCCTTTGGGATTCTGCCAATCAATGACAAATTACAACCTGTGACTGTGACACAAGCCAAATCAAGTTGATTTGTACTGGCTTTAATCACAGTGACAGTCAAAGGGCTTCACAGACCCACAGGAGACATTTTAGACGTGATCCGCCTAATTTTGTCTTGTTTCAAGATTCTTACTCTCATTAGTGTCTCAGTTGCAAACAACAATAACTTACTAACTTAAGAAAAGGCACTGAGGATGAGAAGTATAATGCTGGAATAATAACTATTAATACGAGTAATGCTTCATATATTGTCACTTAATAACTATTTAGGCCTAATGGTTTGAAAATAAATACAATGATAAGAATATGGAGTCTTCTTCAGCAGCAGCAAGTCAGCCATTCAACCATTCATTTACCTATTTGACTTGCAAACTGGTGATGGTCTAATGGGGCAGGAACTAGTCAGCCACTGTGACACCGGATAAATATATCAGCTCATTTGTTTACTGTGTGACTGTGTAGTTGTGGGTTTATTAGTGGTTGGAAGTGACTAAAGGAAAGAAGCATTTGTTCAGCTGCTGTCAGAGCAGCAGAAGTTATTAGTTCACACACTTGGAAGATTGCCTTGTAGTAATTATGCTTTGTTTTCAATTTAGAAAGCTTACAGATGTATTAATGTTAATGTTTACAATGCAAAACAGAAACTTTTATGATATCAGAAACCACAGACTGGGTAAGTGCTAATCATGGTCCATAGGGAAACTTTAAAAGAGCTCAGAGTCCACCTTGGATGTAGACCCTCTCCCAGTTCATAGTCGTGTTCTAAAAACTCGCTGTCTCCTTCCACCAGGAGCAGCAGGTGGTGGTGTGCCAGATGCTGCAGCAGCAGAGACAGAGAGAGCTACAGCGCCTCACACTGACAGGAGCACTCACCTCCACCCCAAACTCACCCATGATTGCCCAGTCACCCAACCTGCTGTCCTCTGCTACAGCCTCACCCCTGCAGGGCAGCCAGGGAGGCAGCCTCTTCGGTCTGCAGGACAACGCACTTCACAAGCCCGGGGTGAGTAATACTGCAGGATTTCTCATTATGATTCTACATGCTGTCATGGTTTCAGTTTTAGAAATTTCAGAAACTCTGCGTAATTGTGTTTTCAGGCTGCAGGAGAAAAGGGTGGAGACAAGAATGGGTGACACCTCTCAGTAACACAGGAGCAGCTCAAATGACGATATCGGGCGTCACACGCCCACTTGAAGAACTGAGGTCAACATACAAGACTAGTGAACGTCTTTCCTTCTCTGTCATCTTTATCTTAAACCCTCTTTTATGAATGTATAACAGGATGGTGAAGTTTTTCATGTTTTGAAATTCTTTATATCAGAGGTTCTTCTCATAGGTTTTTTGTATAGGCAGCTTTCAGAGAGCATGAATTCAGTGGTCTCTTCTTAAATTGCACTAATTTGTTAGTTAGACCAATGGGGCTGCTGATGAAGGCAGAGTTTCCTGCTCAGCCCTGCAGGTGCTGTGTGGGTTTTCAGTTTGTGAGTGGGAACTCCAGGTCAGAGTGTTTTTTCCTCTGACTTCTCAAGCACTGACCATTCATGAAACTCCCTCCATGGCTTGAACCAGAGTTTTCATTCAGTCAGTGAGAATCAGACATCTGCCCGCTCTTGCAACCTCAACTGTCTTCCTTGATATTTTGTCTTCCCTTTGTGTCACCCCGCCCAAATTTCACCTAGATCTTCTATATGTTGCAGCCTCTCACAGGCTATATTATGTAAAGGATAAATATACTGTCATTTTCAGTGTGTGGTTAGTGGCATTTCAACATTAAGCTAGTTATTACCTCAGACCTTTTTGCCACCTATTTTCCATTGTTGACATTTTGTGCTGACTCATTACCGCATTCGTCTTCACTGGATATAAATGCCCACCAAAAAATCTTGGTGTTAACTCTAAGGTATTAACTCCTGTAAAATGTAAAAATGGCACACGACCCACGTGTCCAAAAAGGCGCCGCGACCACTAGAGACTGGCATCGACGTGAACGCTGAACACCAGGTTTTATTCTAAATGACCACAAGAGTTTCTAAAGACTTTTATATCCTTCCAGTTGCTATCGAGATTAAGCAGATTAAACCAAACATTTGGAAGTTGTAAGTAAGAAATTAATTGTTTTTCCTAAACAAGTGTGCACTTTGCATGTTAGTAGCTAACAGAGCAAATTAGCCATCAACACAGTACCTTATAGGATACTTGGTACTTACTAGGCCACTAGGGACTTAAAGGTTTTTGTTTTATGATTATTTTGCACTCTGTCCTCAAGTGTCAGCTTTTTATGTTACTTTCATACATAGATATTCTTTCCATGTCCGCCAACTAGTTGTTCTTTTAGCAATACTGGATAGATAATGCCTTAATGATACTAGATTTACAGAGAACCACGAGCCCAAAGGCTTACTCTCTTGGCGTCTTTCTTTGATAGTGTTTTTTATCTCGGGTTCGTGGTGGGCTACGTTACGAAAGTTAAAGCGCTCTTCCTAAACCCATTTATACTTTTGATAGCTGACTGATGATTTCAACAGTTGAAATGTGTGAATAACCGTATAGTGGTAACTAAAGTGTCAAATCATTTTCTATTGTAATTTTTTGTGTTAAGATGCAATGTTCTTTAGTTGTTTTGTGCTTCAGAGAACAGAGAAGGACTTATTGAAAATCTTACAGGAACGCCTGCACAGTGGTGTCATAGGAAGAGATGTAAACTATTAAAGTGCTGTTGCAATAGTGTATGAAACATAGTGTAGCTCTTATCAGCACTGAGGAGACAGTGAATTGCCAATGTTGCTACTGTTGGCCTTTTACTGCTGGGCTGTTTGAGTTTAGCCAACGTAGAGACTATGATATCCTCCTTTTTCCTTCTACTCCACTTTATCATGTGATGCCTCTGTTTGGCTCAGTTTTACTAACAAAGGCCACTTTCACTCTCACATTCATCCTCTACCCTCAAGTTAAAGGATCCTTTTATCAGGTTTTCTCCTGTGTTCTCTAACAAGATTCTCATAGGCCTTTGAGATATTTTGTCACTTCTGTTTTGCAATCTTGAACATGATCTCCCATACATGTGATATGTTGAGTGCTAGATTGTTTTGTTAGCAGCTAATGTAGACGTCAGAAAGGAACTTCAAGCAGCTCACTAGTCAGTGATAAATACTGTAGCAATGCCAGAAGGAGAATGTTGATTATGTTGATAAAGATATTGGCCAACGGGTTGACACGACTCCAAGTGGGAGGTCTGCATTTTAGCAAGCATGTCCTTATGAGTCGCCTCACAGCTGAGGCAAAGTCCAGACACACAACCACGTCCAAGAGATTGACTGAGGAGTGGTGCGAAGGATTTCTGAAGCAGTTTCTTTCTCATGTTGCACTGGGGCGCTTTGGGCCCAATTGTAAATCGTTTTTAGTACCTTTTCAATTTTGTTGGAATACGAGTTGTATACTTTAATATGTTTGTGTAAAAACACATTCATTCTTTTAAGCTTTGAAGTTTGGGTAACCAAGATAATCCATGTTATGAATGTCGTACTGTGTATTTTTTATGTATTACAACATTTAAGCACCTGGCTCTGAATGAGGTTTGATGGAGAGCAAGTTACCTATGGGGATATGAATTGCATGAAATGCAGTGACATCTCTCAAATGTATCGCTAAATACCAAGTAACAACTATGCATCATTTTAAATGCATTGTTCCCTGAAAAAAGAAATTAAATGAAATGAGCACTGAAGTTTAAAAAGGACAAGCACGTTGTCAGTGTACAGTGTATTTGTTTGAGAGAATTGAGCAAAACGAATTTGACAATATTCAGATTAAAAGCCCTGTAAAGTATTTTGATATTTTTGTGTGTAAAATTAAAAGGATGGATTAAGAAAACTTTTTTTTGTCAATAAATGTATTTTACTGAGTTGTTCTACATTTTCTCTTGGGTGTTGAATGACTTAACTGTAAATAGTCTATGTACTTGAAGGGGCCCAAACCTGGGACTGAATTCAACACTTTTCATGAAGGTACTTGACGATATTAGTTTCACCTTCTAGTAAACAGATTTTACTTGTTAACCTGTAGATATTGGTATTACTTCATCACGGTGACCAATATTAGTAACAAATATTCTATTTCACACTTTATGAAGTAAAAAAGTTGTTGTTGAAACCTGGATTTTTGGCACCATGTGCTGCTTGTTGTGCAATACTAAAACCAGATTTGGGGAACCAGAGTGCAGGATTTAAACCTTTTTCTTTTTAAAATAATCCGTTATCAGGTAAAGAAAGGTCCTATTTAAAGCTACAACTTCATGTAAGCAACTTTTGAGAAATAAAGTTCCTGTCATCATATGACAGGTTTGTTTATATGTACATTTTTGCAGATAATCACATTTGAGAAACACATAATTTATAATGGATTATGAACCAGCCAAAAATATACTATGTTAAAGCTTCTAACTGATCAATAAAGCCTTATACTATTTACTAACTATCAATAAATCCATTATTCACAACTAATGAACCCTTTTTATGTATAAATGATGCATTATTAGGAAGTGATACCATTTTCCTTGTCTTTTTCGCAGATTTTCAGTGGATTTGACCTTCAAATCCACTGTGAAGGAGGGGGGGGGGGTCAGGGGGCGTGGCTTCAGCACGGTCTACGAGATGTTACAGTCACCAGCCAATCACCTGGACTACCGAGGTACGGAGGCCATGTTGTAACTTTACCCGCGGTCCCTCGAAGTTTTGTCTCGCAGCTGGCGTCAGAGTTGTGATTCCCTCCGGAGAATTAAAGTAGCCTCACAATAACACAACTTCGTCCACTTTCACTACGACAAAATGAACTCGAGCGGTTTTGTAGTCGCATTGTGGAGAGGATGCACACGGGACTTAATACGACCTCAACCACTTTCGCCTCTCTCTGCTTCCTCCTCGATGGTGGGTAATGTTGTCTACCTGCTACAAGTCTGAGTGTACATTCAGGAGGTCTTTTTCCTGTTACATTTGCTGATGCAGTGATTCCCACTTCTGAGCCGTGACCATAAGTTTATATCACAGAATATCGGTGTTCTTTGTTTTTTTTTCTGTTGTGTGCAAACAAAAACCTGAACCACTCCCCCCCTGACAGTCTGAAGGGGCAGTAGAGGACACTGAGGCTCGTCACGTCATTTAAAGCTATCAGATAAAGCAGAAGTACAGCGACCTCATAAAACATACTGTAGCTTATGTCTTCATCTTATGTCTGTTCTGTTCTTGTCTGTGCTCAGATGCTTTTGTAAAATGTGTTTGTGTATCACTCAGTAACTATTTTGTGTTATGGAATAAATAGCCAACTGGTTGGATGTCCAGCTTTTTTTTTATTTGACTGTCAGCTCATTATTATGTCAGCTCACTATTTAGTCCGGGTGTTCTCTCCAGCTGTCACCCAGTGGTGTGTCTCACATGTGATGGTGCATTTTGTCTCCAGATGCAGAGCGTCCTGATGTCCACACAGCCTGTCTCTGCAGCCCGGCTGCCCTACAGAGTGAAGGTGTCTGCTGGGAAACGCTACGCCTGGTGTGCGTGTGGACACAGCAAGAAACAGGTGAGCACATGCGGCATGCTGGGGTTCTGGTTTCAGCCACACCTGGGAGGGATGCCAGTTTTTTAAAGTCATGGTTCATTTAGTGCCGCCTATGTCCAGTTTACATCAACACCCATTTGAAAGCTGCCTGTTGAGGCAGTTTGCAAGAGGAGACTCGAATGTCTTCCTGTTAATGGCAGTAAAAACATGCACACACTAATGGCTGAGGTCAGTGTTTAAGTTTAGAAGTGCTGAATACTGTTTTCAAGCTCCTTTTTCGTAAGTCAGAAAAAACTACAGTAGGTTGATATGTGCAGAGATCCCCAGTAATGTGAAGAAGAGAGCCAAACTGGATTAATTTAAACAAAACAAAAACCGTATAAATATTAAATGTTAAAGAAATTCAGATATCAACTTTTTATACTATCTAACCTAGTCCAAAAAAAACATTTGCTGTAGTATGCTTGGGAAGAGATTTAACACAGCAGCCGCCTGTGGTTCAGGGGGGGGGAGTGGGTCATTCACTAATCAGAGCGTCGGCGGTTTGATCCCCGGCTCCTCCAGTCCACATGTTGAAGTGTTCTTGGGCAAGATACTGAACCCCAAATTCCTATTACTAGGAATCTGCACATATCAAACTACTGTCGTTTTTCTGACTTAAGAAGAAGGAGCTTAAAAACAAATGGCCCCTGATGGCTGCCCCTCAGTGTCTGTGTATGGATGTGATGTGTGAGTGAGTGGGTGAATGTGGCAAGAATTGTAAAGCACTTTGAGTGGTCGATACAAGTAGAAAAGTGCTCTATAAGTGCAGTCTATTTACCATTAATACAATTAAATATGTTTTTTTTTTTAAATTAAAAGTTCACACCGTTCTGGCACTAAAATCCTTACATGTGTCTGTGAAGTGATCTGAAGATAATTTGACAATCTGTGTATTCATCCTTTACTTTTCTCTCTGTCAGCCTTTCTGTGACGGAGCTCACAGGACAGCAGCACCCACCATCTCTCCTCTACGTTTCACCCCTGACAAAGACAGGACCTTGATGCTGTGTGCCTGTAAGCAAACCAAAAATGCACCGTACTGTGATGGTTCGCACTTAAAAGTCATCTTCCAGGATTTAGTGAAGTCGGTGAAAGGCGTATTTAAATGAACAATGCTGTTCGCAAAATGACCGTCCTGTAAAGGCCAAGGAGTAACTGCAATAGAAGTTAACAGGAAGAAATCTTTATCTAGACTCAGCAGAATCATGTTATTTAATAACATATCAGGGTAAAACTTTAAAGTATCTTTTCTATAACATTTGATATATTTACAGAATTGTTCTCTCCATATGATATATAAAAATGAGATAGCAGTATGATACAGGTGTGCTATGTGAGTATTATGTAACATCATCCAATTGTGAGTTATCTTTTTTGTGTTTTGTTTTTTTTTTTTTTTTATCCAAGCTAGGAATTAATTTTATTGAATATGGAGGAATGTGTGTTTTTTTCTATTATGAGTTTATAACTTATGTTTTTGTATTGATTTCATATCATCATTATTATTATTATTATTAGTTATGATGTTCCTGTATTTTCCAGTATGGGACGGTTCCATGGGTCTTATGTGTGTGGGGCTATAAATCTGTCGTGGGTTACTATTCGCTATACTGACAGGGGTTTCTTTAATGGTATAAAAGGAGTTTTGCTGTTTTTTGGGGGCGTAATCTCTGCTTGTGTAATTGAGCATTCCACCATATTGTACAATATATACTGTATTTATAAACTCATCTAGTGCTTTGTGTGTTGTTTTATTATTACTTATGATATTCACACAATTACCATGATAATCTCAGAACCTTTGATATTAAAACAAAATGCATTTACTGCTGACTCTTTGTTTATGTGACAGTGTACAGATGTCCCCCACTGATTTATCATCTTTACTTGTCTGGCTGATGTTTTGTCTGGATAAATTGCATAATTTTTTGAATTATGCTTTTTTCTTATACAAATCATAGATACAAATGCATAATTTATAGAATTGTTGTGTCAGCGACATACAGAGTAAATGATATTTGTCAAAGCAGTTGATGCTGATGTCCAAGTAGCCACTTAACATCCAAATCACTTTTGGAAAGAAAAACTAAATTTAGCCAAAGTCTGTTAATGTGCATATTTTTCCATGTGTTGTGACTAAGTTTCCAAAAATATAGAGAGGGATTTTTTTTTCTTGACTTTTTAAATTGATTTACAATAAGCCGTTCTCTACATTAGAATCTGATCATCTGATTCTTATTGATTTTTAGTTTAATGTCATTTTTATCTTTTATATTGCTAGTATTTTCTTTTGTGGGTGTGCAGCGATGAAAGGATGTTTTCATTATTCAAATGAAAGGTTTCTGTTCTCCCCCAGGAATAAATTACAGGGGGAAAATTTGTAAAATTTTGAATTTATATATGTATTTACAGTATTTGCTTAATCATTGTCAATTTTGTGAAGACTTCATCTCAAAAATAATTGAGCCCTATAAAAATATAACATTGAATTATATAATGTAAGCTGCATTACAGGTCCAAACATTTCCAGAATAAAATACTGAGGACACTCTCTGTCTTCAATGGTAGCTACAGCCCTGGTCTTGATGGCTAATACTGAATAATTTATTTGAATTTTAATTCAATTTTATTTTATAAATAATACTACTACTAATAAAACTAACAATAATGATAATAGGACAAATAATAATAATAAACCTGCTGTCTAATCCTGTAGAGTTTTTACTTATTCATAATAAAAACTCATCTATGTTAGTCACTCTCAAATCACTTCAGCGTTATCTGCCAGTGACTGATATCCGCCTCCTCATTGGCTCAGCTGCTGACACGTGACCCTTCAGGAAGTGATTTCCACAATCCGGTCAGCTGTCAGCTTCACTGTTCGTGTCTTTGAACCGCAGCTAGAAGAGGTTGTGTTGGTGTTAACTGTCACTGAAGACATGAACGCGTTGGTGACTAAGTTAGACCACATACGGATCAGTTTAACCTTGAGGCACACTTGGGCACCAGCTATGGCGGCTTCCAAGGTAAATTGACTCCTGATATTAGCCTGCGTTTTGTAAGCATGGTATTGTCAAACTGATTGTTAGTCAGTTTCCTCTAAAATTACTGCGCAGTTATGATTTCATCACGTTGTAGTGTTAAATACATTGACTCTGTACTGTCAGTTTCCCTGTGTCCAGATGCAGAAACAAACAATGTGCACTTGAGTTAATCAACAGCCACTAACATACAAGACCTCTAATGTATGCTGCAAGAGTATGCAAGAGTAACTTACAGTATGAGAAGATGTAGATGTGGCGCCACCTACTGTATAACACCACAGTTCCTGCACAGCCACACACAGGTGTTTTCAACCCTAGCCTGATGTTCCACTTTTTCTCACACAGTTATCCTACAGCTTTGATTGTCCCCTATTCACATGTCATGGCAAGAGAAGCACAGGTGTCACTGATAACATTAACAATATCTCTGTTGTCTGTGGAGACACTTTGTCATCCAGGTCATGGAGTTCCAAGAACTGTTGAATTAAGAGCAGCTGGACTCGGACGTAGATACTTGATCCATTTGTTAGTGCTCCTGGTTGTTGTAATGACAGTTGTTAGAGTTGCCAGAGGCCAAGTGTGAATGGATGTTAAATTTCCTGTGAAGGGATGAAAGGACACTGTTGTAAGTGAGGGGACAAGTGGTGTCGTAGACCCCCTCCACTGTTCAGGGATGGTTTCCCTCCTACTTCAGGGGTAGGTCACCTACTGAGGAGTTGGCCCTCCTGTGTTGAGCGATGTGATCGTTTGGTTTCAACAATGTTTAGGTTTGTGTATTCCTCACTGCAGTCTAGTGTATACAGTCCAATACAAGTGTCCCAGTAAGTCAAGTCAGTGTGACAAAGAGCCACCGTGGACAATATCAGGACTCTGAAACTGAAACAGCTAAATTGAATTCAGCCATCATGACTTGTATCATTTACACCTGTGTTTTTCTGGTTGTGACATGTCTTTCATGAAAAAGGCCTGTATCTTCTAAGAACATGGAGTTTGGTGTACAGGATATAACAAATGGTCAGTCTAGAGATAGACGTCTAAATTCATCCGTTGCACAAAGCAGTTTAGTTCTTGACTGTTTTAAACCGGACTGCGGTACAATGAATTCTGGGTAAATTCAAACTTTTTTCAAAATTAAAAAAAAATGGCTGACCAAGGAATCCCATCTAAGCACTCAGCTCTGTGTACCCCAGCAGAAAATATTTGTCTTTTAGCAAAATTCAACAGTTACAAGAGTGTATGAAGACTGATACAATGGGGAAAAAAAAGAAAAAAATGATTTGAAAAAAATGGCTGCAATCTCTAAAAATTCTTTCCCTTCTCATCGCTCTCTCCATAACAATGTTAGCAAACCATAAATTATGAGCCATGTTTTCCTGTTTTTTGTTGTTGTTGCTTTGTGCTACTAGTCAGTGCAGGTGTCATTGATTGTTACCATGGTAACATTGGTCTCAGGCCTGAGATAGCCCAGTGGTAAGGTGCCTAATGTTTTTGTGAGTCAGTCTTTATTTGAAATACAATATAACAATATAAGAAAGCAAAATTAAGACTGGACCAACACCAAAGGCCAGTCTGAAATATCTTTGTGAAACTGGCCCCAGATCCCCAACACAGCTGCTTTCACTTGTTCTAGTTAATTAGACTTTTCTCATATTGATGTTGGGTGAAGCTGCCTGTTACTTGCAGTAACCAAACTTCATGAACAAATTAGACCTTTTTCACAGAAGACATTTTTACCTGTGATGGCAGGAAAAGCACCGGTGGTGCAATGGCTTTGTTCCATCAGTTGCCCCAGTAAGCCAGCATGCACATTACCAGTATCCTGGAACCAGCTCACCTAAATGGAATGCAGCCATTTTTAATTATATGAATTACATGTCGTTCCTGCTGCGACATGAAAACTTCTGCTGTGTAAAAGGTCTATAAAAATCCTAAAGATCAAGGACAAGAAGTTTTTACATCTTGACAAGTGCAACAAATCTTAGCAGTGAGTCGGGGAGAGTTAATTAGTCACAGCCTGTAGACACCCAAACAGTCCAGAGGGTTAATAAAACACTGACCACTATTCAAAGACTGTTTTTGATAATTAAGTACATTTAAGAGTTAATACATATTCTTTAGTTAACATTACAAGAAGGGTGTATTATTTTAATCTTACAGTGCTGTGACTTATTTAGATAAACTGAGCACTATATTGTTGTAATGTCCTCAGGTGCAGCTCTCCACACTCCCTCCAGAACCTGTCATCCCCTCTAAGAAGCCTTTCAAAGTGGAGCTGGTTGGTGGAAAGCGTTACTCATGGTGCACCTGTGGACACAGTAAGAAACAGGTAAAACTATTTTTGACGTCATCTATCTCAAAGTACAAACCCTGTGTATTCTCTGATCAAATCTTTATGTTTCAGCCTTTCTGCGACGGATCCCACAAGTTCAAAGCCCAAGGCCTGTCCCCGCTGCGCTTTGTCCCAGACAAAGACACCACAGTTTGGTTGTGTGGATGCAAATACACCAACAATCCACCTTACTGCGACGGCACACACAAGCAGGACTTCATTGTGTCTGCCACACTACATGAGGAGACTGACTCTTGAACAAGGAGGATTATTGCCAGATGATTTAACCTCATCCTGATCTGGGAGAATAAACAGGGCATCCGTTGTCGAGGCAGAGCATAAACTTTACTGCTGTAGTCACATTGCACTCCATGAACGCAGCACATATAACATGATCGAACACGTCAGGCCACTGTGCTCTGTTTTTATATGGTGAATACAATGTTGCATTAACATTGGGGTTGGTGATATGACACTGTGGTGACTGTCCCTTTTTAATATATCTAGTTGTCTTCTGAATAACGTTGCAAATAAGTAAACAACCCTGGCAGTCGATAGGAAAAAGATTGTTAAAGATGGGATGTAATAGTAGTCTAGAATCTAAAGTTCTAGTTTTACTGGAGAAAACGGCCCATGTTGGAGTTGAACACTGAATTATGTGCATGAAATGATGTGACTTCATCTCGTAGAGACTGGGACTGTGTGATAGTGCGGAGCCTTGTGCTGCTCTCTCCTCATAAAGCTTAACATAGTAGATGAAATAAAATGTGATAATTTCCTTTGGGATGTGTTCATATGCTTTCCTTCATGTGAAATATTCATCACTGTAAGCAGCCAATAAATGCTTTGTTTTTAATCTTCAGTTTGTGCCGACACTGTTAGAGGAGTGGTGTAATTTCTAAAACTAGTTTGTGTTGGTCTATGGTGGTAAGGTTAACAAACATTTCATGTCAATATCAGAATTCAAAGGCGTCACTGTGTCTCTTTATTTCTACTCAGCTGCTGTGGCACCTGTTGTCTGGATCATGTCATATACTGAGGACTCAGTGAGTCCCCAAAGACTCAGTAAGTGAGCAGAGCTGAGAACAGAGCCTCCTCTGATAGATACAGAAATGTGATATTGTTTAAGTAGAAATGGTTGCAGGGATTTTTGTGAAAAGCTTTTTGATAACAAAGTTGAACATGTCAACCAGGGTCAGGCTGTTTGGACCTATAGGGTGGATTCAGAGAGAAGGCACTCCTACTGTATCACCCATCAGACAGCTTTGCACTTAACCCACTGAGGTATATTTCTATTCATGGTAATGAGTCTATTGTGGGTATATATCTTCAGTATATAAATGTAAAAAATAAAATTTGAGACAATACATTTAACACCCCCTGCTTTTAGATAGTTATGCCATGGAGATGTGGGAATTATCTTACTTACATAGTTGTTTAAATCTGTCACAGAACGACTCAATTCTCATCTGTCTGTGAAATTTTAAATTCTGATCAATGCTTTTTGTTCCTCACTCTCAGCTTCTGCAACATACTGCACACACAACATGATATAAGGGAATCAAACAGGACAGTCAGGTCAGAAAAACCTAGTAAGTAAACATTTTATTGACCTAAAACATGCACATATGGCTGATTTAAAAAAAAAAAAAAAAAAAAAAAAAAAAATATTGTTTGTTGAAAAGAAACAAAAGGAATGTTGAAAATGATGGAACTACAACATACATGGCCAAATATCCAAATCCCTTTTGAGTTCTTCGCCTGCCGCGAGAGGAGACGGTCTTCTGACAGACGTCTGCTTGCAAGCATGGTGGTGCTTGGTATTCAGTAAATATAAATGCTTCTCCTGTTGGAAAATACTTAATGGTTTGGACTGTGTGATCTGACCTTAACAAAGTGCATCAACAGCTTCATGTAATGTATGTGTGTTACCTGATGAGCAGTTGCTTTTACTGGACATTTATACAGCAGTTATTAACATGACTGTTCAAAGGCAAGGATTAGCTTTTTTTTTTTTTTTTCTTTACATCCAACTTGCGCAGTGATGTGCACTGCAATGCCTCCCAGCATTTTGTCTCACGTTGTATGGAAGCCAAATCAATGTTGAAAGAGCTCTGGAAATGAAACAGACCCACTGCATATACAATACAAAACGATTACAATATCTTGTATAAAAGATAAGTTTATACATATGTATGCACACATGCTCACATTTGATACATACTGTACAGTTTGTATGTGTGCACCGTTCTAGTCTAACACACATAAACACACACACGCACATACATACAAGTGTCTATTTGGCTGCACCTCTCCTGTTGAAAGGTGATAACAGTAATCTGGCCCCCGTTTGTCCAGAAGAAGAACTCAAGCTCGTCTTTTTGCTCTGAAGAAAGAAAGAAGGGAGCAATTCAAACACTGTCCTCCCTGCTGCGCAGTACACACGTTAGGTCGCCGGTGGCAAACCGCTTTTGTCACCTCCCCTCGCCTCCTCTTTGCCGGCCCCAGAGCTTGTGCCATTGACAGTCACCTTGCGAGCGTTGGCGCCCTGTTTGGAGGCGAGAGTGTGTCGCTGAGTGTTGTTGGGCACAGTGGTACCGTTGGAGCTTTGGATGGTGGGAGAGGGGGTGTGGGAGGCAGGGCTGGACTGCGAGGAGGATCGGGGCGGCTGGGCTGCAGCAGGACTGTGGACTTTGTCGCTCTGGGAGTCGCTCTCTGACGTCGGACTGGTGTTGACGCCATCAGAGTGTCCCTGAGCAGCAGACTGGGACGGCCTCCTGCGCTTCCGGGTGGGTTTGACTAGATACTGCAGGGGGATGGGTCCAGTCTGCACAGAGGAACACACACCATCAGGACTGCTGACAGAAGCTCAGATTTTATAATGCATCAGTTAGTGGACAGGACAGGACTTTCAATCTGTCCATTTATTTCAAATCTATTTTTAAAGGATGAGACTGGCGACAGCTGGTAATTTAATTATTTGTCTCTGAAGCCAAAGCCTGATACATCTTATTCTTCTTGTGCCACACAGCTCCAAAACTATTAAAGACACATCAGTGAGCCACACCCAGTGCCATGCTCCTTCATTACCTTGAACACACACACACACACACATTGTAGTTTATTTTGACTCAACCCTACACACACCATCCTGCCGCAAGAAATACTAACTAGTAGGGCTGAGTTGATCAAATCCGATTCTCCAACTCAAACTGATCTTCATTTGAGTCATCCGATATCGATTCATAAAATCCAGAGATCAAGCTTTTGGTCCATGTCTTTTACAGTCTCCCGTTGATGTGTGAAGCTGTAACCCTGTTACTCTCATGTGACCACCCTTCCCACACAACAAGGGCTCCACTGAAGGCACTGGTCTAAAGTGGTTGCATTTAAGATTTAAAAACTGAAGACAGCGAAGAGCTGGACAAAAGCAAAGCCATGTGCAAGATATTTTTAATAATGCACCCAGTTAGAGGAACAATTTACAGCATTAGTTCACTGGTGTAAGCAAAACTGGTGTTGTAACTGAACTATCTCTGACTGAACCGATACTGAATCGGGACTTTGTGAATCGGAACTGAATCAATATGGCAAATCAGTGGAAATGCCCAGTCCTACTAACCAGCACCAAGTGTTTATTCATCCGATAGCTGTGTATTCATCCACAGCTGAAAATAGTCCACAACAAACGCACCATTTACTCCTGTTTGAGTAAGGATTGCTAACGACTACAGTGCCCAGCTGTTCTGGGAAATTACAAGGCCTTTTTAAAATATGGAACTATGTATTTGTGAGGTGTTTTAGGGATTCATGTCATGCTCAGAAGTCCCAACTCCTACAAGATCAGTTCCAGTTAAATCATCTCACAGACATGGTTATCAGAGTTGATGGCAAATTATCATCATCATGGTTATGAAGAAAACTGGAGGAACATATTGAATTAGATGAAACTGTCGAATGTTTTCACTGCCACTGAAGCAGCAACAGGAATCATAAACACACAACTAGAACATCAAAATAAACACTAAAAACAGCAGAACGTGAATGAAGAAAACGCAGCAGACTAAAAGTTAACTTCAGTGTGTGTTCCTGTTTTCAACATATGCATGAAGACCATACCGGTGATTTTCCTTGTTTTAGCCCATTGATACATATTGTGTCTGCATTTCCTTCCTGGCAATCACTTACTCATATATACTTCTACTTTTTTTTCACATTACTTTCCGCTTATATCAACTTGTAGAAACTTGAAACTTATTCCAAATGCGTAATGCATCATATTGAACTAGTCTGGAAAAACTGAAAAGCACTCACAATCTATGTCGTGAGAAAATCAAATCCACAAGACAAACATCGACATGGTGAAAACTAATGATCAATGATTGAAATTGCTCATTTCCTGCCCAAAATAAGTTGCTATTTGGCTGCTGACTTTGGCAGTTGCAGCGTTTACAAAAACTTTAATGCAGCAAACATTATTGTTGGAGCTACTTCCAAACTCAAGAAGAACACACTGCTCCCACTGATTGTCTGGCACTGAATGTATTAATTCATCTAAAAACATGCAACATGCTGAAGAAAATGCCACGAAAACTGAAAGCTGTCACTCACTCGTCTCCACTCGTAGAAGTAGGCAATATCCATTAGTGTGTAGTAGTCCTTCAAGGGCTCATCCCCATACAACACCTCCACCTGCAGCAGACAGTCACACCATTTAAAAGCAGTGTTACAAGAAGAAAAACATCTCGTTACATCACAGTTTATATCTCTTCTCTTGGATGAAAGGAGAGTACGGCGTCCTTCAACTCAGCAGCATTTCAGTTACTTCACATATCAAAGTGAAATGAATTAAAACAAAAATTGTGGCCAGTGTAGATTCTTTCCAGGACTGGTACCAATATTTTTAAACTGCAGCGTACAATATGTTCTGACAATATTCACCACAGTAATATCACTGTTTGGAAGTTAGGAAAGTCTATAAACATTTTGACACTAATAAAAATCTCTATTTAAAAAGACTAACAAAACTCGCAGCAGCATCATCAGTACAGTGGACACCAACTGTCTGCTGTCCAAGCTTTACTTCAATATTGACCCAGTAGTGGCAAATCCACTGCTGCTGCTGCAAGGATTAGCTGGTTCCAGGTCTGGTTCCAGGTCTGGTTCCAGGAACCAGACCTGGAACCAGACCTACTTCTCTTCTAGCAGCATCATTTATTTCTGAATAAGAGGGTTTCTATCAGCTGTGTTTCTGAAACAATAAAACATGACACCCTTCAGCTCATCACTACTAATGTACTTGTAAACTTTGAATAAACAATCATTTGAACTCAGCTCTGTCTATAACATCACCTCTAATGAGGTTTTGACTAAGGAGGATTATTAAGGAAAGAACCCAAAACAGAAAGTGCTGCACTGGGAGACAAACTGGAGCCAATTCTCTTAACATCAGTGTTTCCACCTAAAATATTGTTCACGTCAACAGCAAACTGTCTCGAAAAGGCTCACAAGTCATAAATATGCAAACCTTTCCCATTTTAACCGTCACACCACGACTTTGTTTTTCACCCATTCAACATGTGTACAGTTGATAATCACGCATATGTTGGAATGAAAGAAAAAGACAGATTAAGACGTTAGTCATCCTCCTATTGGATACTCTTACTCTTGTCTTGCTAATGACTAGATTTAGCTGCTGCTTAACATACAATACCTGACCACTCCTTCTTTATACAGCGTTAGGTTTGGACAGTAGAACTGAATCTAATGCCACATTTATATCATGTTGTGCAGACTGTGGTTATGAGCAGGTGAAATTAGAAAATTAGTCTAAATAGCTAATTAAGGCATTTCCACGTTTCTGCTGTGACAAAGAGGGGTACATTTCTAGGAACACTGTGCAAACACTTCTATGTCAGAATAATGTGAGGCTTACTGGTGGTGTGAATGTGTCATCCGATTCATAGGAGTCATGGTTATTAAATGATAAGAAATGAGTTGTTGTTAGTAAGTTGATAGCTAGCCTCTGTAACACAGTCCACATTCTTGTTCGAGATGGATGATAATATTTTAAAGACCTTTTTTTGCGGCAGACATTTTGGCATGCCGTAGCAGGACAAGCACAGGTGCAGCTAATATCCTTAATGAAAGCTGCATTCCATTTATGTGAGCCACTTCCAGGGGTCCTCATGTTGTACATGCTGGCTCACTACCATATTCACATATTACATAATTGCAAACAGCTGAGTGGGAAAAACATTCACGTCAGCCTCCTAATTGTAGGATATTGGTCATTTCTGCCAGCGATCATATCTCCAACTTGGCCAGAGGACCTACTGGGACATCCACATATCGGTGGCAAAATGGCTACAAGGCCGCCACCACTGCCACTACCTATAAATAATATCCTATACCACCTCTAAATTCAGTCAATCCAGCTAATTAAGATTGAGCTTTATATCGTTTGTTTGTATCTGGTTTTACTTGTTTACCACTACAAATACAAAACAAACTGTGACCACGAGGTTAGCAATGTGGCTAACTGTATTAGAATAATGCATGAACACTGCTACCTGCTGTCTACCAACATTGCAAGAATGCAGCATGAGCCATTATTAATGTTATTAATCATTCCTGTGCTTTATTTGGTATGACAAGTGGAAATAAATATATGATAAAAAATAATTATATATAAACTTAATATATTTGTCATATTCTTTGTTTGTTCCAACATGTAACAGTATTTAATGGTTTTGAAGCGATGTCCCTCGCTCTGAACACTATTACTTGGTCCCTTTGAACCTCTGTCAGTCTTCATGTTGCACTGACAGCTCACATATCACAGCGCTGACTGTCAGAGCGCTTTTATATCTGCAGGCAGCCCAATATGAGCCACCTGTGTGGCAGTGGTTTGCGGTTATGATTAAGTTACTCTAGACTTAAAAGTCCTTTTACACAATGCATTTTATATTATTGTTCCTGAACCCTGCAGTTTGCTACAGAATCAATACGGCAAAGAGTTGTTGGGTGCATTTCGTCTAATTACCCGGTAGTTGTTGGGAATATCCATCTTGCTCCGGAGGAACTTTGCTAAGTGCATGACGGACATGGCTGCTGGGCACTGCAGGAAGCGTTTACCATTGGACTGAGAACAAAGAAAAGAGTAGAGAGGGGATGCATAAATCCACGGTTAGGACCAGAAAACCACATTAAATGTGAGTAGTGTGTAGGCTTCACTGCTGCTTTCCCCAACTTTGATTCATAACTGAAATTTTACCTTGTCTCCTTCCATCTCCGAACGCTGCCTCTCATTGTTTCTGCAGGGAAAATTTCATACAAAGAAAAGGTGTTCAACAATAATTAACAATTATTTCCACACATGCAGAAAATCATATTCAGTGCAAGTTTGACTGGAACCTCTTTGTCAATGCATGTCTCATACACAGGTCTTACTCCTGTGACTTATTTCTGTTTAATGACTCTTAGTTCTTCTCTGTCCTTTACTTCATGCATGACCAGATTATTTCCTTTCATTGTTTTTACACTTGTCTCTGCAAATTTCCCCGTAAACAGACCCGACATTAAGAATTTACGCTGCCGATTGATGAGAAATGAGCGACTCACTTGTTCCTCTCATAGAACTGTATGGACAGACTGATGATTTCATCCTCTGCAATGTTAAACGTCTCCACCACTTCCCCTGGTTCCAGCACACGATTCTCTGCGTAGAAGTCCCGCCTCCGTTTCATCTCATCTAGTTTCGGAAAAAGAATTGCATCTTAAAATGGAAACCTGTGACAAAAGACTATGACTAAGAGCTGGCTTCAAGATAACTCGTCTTACCTTTGAATAACCCTGGAACAAGCTTATAAACAATATCTTGTAGAGTTTTGTCCGCTCTTGGAAAAAAAGAGGAAAGAAACATTATTAGAGATGATACATATTGCATTCATTCTTTTTTTAAAAAGCCTGATGTAAACCACTCTCATCTACCTGATGCTGAGCTGTGGACACGTCTTGTGAACCTGGACATCACATCGAGGACAGAACTTATTTGTCTCCAGGAAGGCAACGATGCAGGTTTTACAAACTAGACCAGGAGAGAGGACACAGACAGACGCTAGAACACAGCTCTTTATCATTATCAGTGTTAATGTGCTGTTCATGGAGCGGACTCAGCATCATGAACACCGTGTACTAAAAATGATACATTACTACCTTTGTTACATTTTGATTCTGACTGTTGAGAGACTAACTGAAGACCTTTAAATATAATCCAGTCCAAACATCACTTGTCTCCACAGTCCAATCAACACCTTGCACGCAATGTCAACAAAAACTTAAATGTTATTTCACATGAATTACATTATCATTGTGCACACATTTGACTTCCTATAGGCCTGATTCTAAAATTTAACATTAAAGTGCATGACTCAAGATCACACTCTCATCCTGAGAGCTACAACATGTGCAGGAGGTCTTCTCAATGTGCAGAACACTGTAAGATCAATGCCGATTTCTCAGTCGAGTTAACCGAGACAGTATGCATGTAATGTAATGGTTTGTGTGTGAGGAACTTACAGGAGTGCAGACACTCTACAATGGTTGTAGCATCAATTAAGTAACCAGCGCACAGTGGGCATGTGAGGTGTGGGTTCAGATCTGTGATTTTAATCCGGTTGGGCTGCATTTTATCCATCTGGACAGATCTGCAGAGGAAGCAAACAACAACAACAACGTGAGAGGTTCTTGTTGCACAGTGGGGCACGGGAGCCCAGGTAAATGTGTATAATGCTTGTTGAGACTTATTAGTTCTATCCCATAGGGTCAATGAGTGGCTGCCACAGAGCTCCTCTCAGACAATGTCTGCAGCTCGTCCTTGGGACAGCAGGTTGTGAAACCACAACAAAGAGAGCCGGTGGCCAACAAAAACAACTCTAACGTCACGTTGTAGCGATAAATAACGTGCTGGAAACAGGAGCCGTGCAGCTAAATGCAGTCTGTGCGCTGGTACACAACAGTCGGCTTTTGAATCGCCCCTGTGTGGCCTCATCTTGTGCATCAGCTCTGCTCCTCGACCAGCGGAGCAACAAAGAGCGTTTCCATTTCTCCGGAGCTCCGCCGTCCGACCGAGCACCACGACCAAACACATCCAGTGGAAACACCAGCACTGAGGGGGTGCAGAGCCGCAGAAAATCACACTAGTACACAAAGCAGCCATCTTAAATTCACTGACAGGGCTGTATCAGGAGGCGAACAAGAGAGACTCAAAATGTGACACCGTTCACTTTGTGTGCGCCTCAGCAAACAGCGGCGCGATGTGCCCGATAAAGAGCGGTCACCGATGCATCGTTCCTACCTGTTTAGACATAAAGGTTCCCCTCTCCTCCCAACGAGGATCCAGGTAAATTATTTGGACTTGAACAGAATTTGCAGCAGCGCCAGAAAATGGCTTTTTTCAGCTCCGTCAGAGGACTGCCCATTTTGGATCACGTGATATTATTTTGTCGCCTCGTTCACGGGGCACACAGGGATCCTCAGGGTCTCTGCAGGCCCTGCTCACTTTTTACACATCCATCTATGCTGCACGGGCAAAGCATCTCACGTTTCTGTTTTTTTTTTTTTATTATTTCACCTTTGTTTGATTCATTTATTTCATTTCATACTCCACTTCTGCCACGCCCTCCGTTTGCCTGGTTCTGATTGAAAATGATTTTGACTGCATTAGGGAGGGAGGCCCTGCAGGCCTCATGTCCCGGGGCCAGAGCTGAGGGCTGTCCCACAAACACGTGAAATTTAATATGAAATTTGTAAGTCTTGTTCCGTTTTTAAATAAATGATGTTTTTAAATTTAAAAAGTTTATGTATCGTTATGATTAGAAATAATAAAGAAAACAATAAACCCAATGGTAGAACTACATTTAAGAAAAAATGAAAAATTATTTACATGGACACAAACGTTTTGAATAGATCTGTATCTATGGCAAAAGTTATAAATGTCTGATCAAATACATTTATGTTATTTTCACAATAGTGTAGGGAATTGAAATGCTGAAGCTCACTTAGTTGAGTTTTTAGTGTTCTTATAACAATCTAGAGATTTTTTTTTTGATAGTGTATCAAATTAGCATGTAATCAATTTAATGTAATTGAGATTAGAAACCCTGCTAGCAATAAAAGCAGCTCAAATGTACAGGCAGGTAGACCAGCAAAAATAAATGTGCCGACTACAGTATTATGTGTCTATGGTCAGAGTAAATACAAACACTGGCAGTCACTAAAAGGGGAACAATACAAATAAAACAATGAGGAGTCAGCAGTTCCATTAGGTAGGCTATAATCACCAAAATCTTCCACCCAAACCATGCAGAGCCACAGGGACAGCAAGCAAAAATGACCACATACACTGACGTCCATATCTTTGACCAATGTAAACATATATGATGAAAGCTTTCTCTGAACATCTTATAAAAAAGACAGACTCAGTCACAACACTGCTGAGGAGGCAGAAATTTGACTGACTGGACATATGGGAGGGTGAATGCAGTGCAGAAGGTGTAGGCTGGGAATATATGAACTGTGTTGTCACAAAACTGAGATTAACAGATGTAAGAGAAAAAACTTTTTATTAAAGGGAAGGAAAAATTCATGCTTATAAATTGGACAAAAAGTCTCCTGAAAAAGAAATCAGCTTATCTATTACAACTGCTTCTATGTTGTACTGTAGTTGTATATTTATTAATGTTTTTAAAGGGGTACTTCAGTAATTTAATATTGCACTTCTATAAAGCTGGGGGACTCACAAGAGGCAGATACAAAGAAACGGTCAAATTCAAAGCAGCAGAGGCTCAGTTAGCCTTACTTTTAGTCCCTAAAATGGATCCTACATTTCCCACAATGCAACTCAATCACATCTGTTTGTTACACTGTACAAGTCAGAAGCTTGTTATTATTGTTGCATGTTGTTGTTATTGTTAGCAATACCAGTTGATAAAAGCACATCATGTGGCATTTTGCACATGCAAAATTATCCACAGATAGAAGTTGGACAGTGCAATGTGAACAATAGATTTAATGATACACAAATGAGACATAGGTGCTATTAAACAGTGTATTACCATGGCTTTCACTTCTGTTGATACATAGAGCGGCCATCTTGGAATGTTGAGGTCGAGGTTGATGAGGTTCTTCTGACTTTCCAAGTCTGAAATTCGACTCCAGGGGGAGTTTCATTTGAAATTTCAAATTCCAGCTTCCCAGTTGAATGGAACTGGAAGTTGGTATTTTAACCTCATGTCTAGTTTTATCATATCTATTACACGTAAACAGTGGTGGAGCCATAAGGAGTAAATTTCAAGTTAGTGAAGAACACAAGACAAATCAGACTTTACACTTTGAATTATTTACAATGTTTTCTCTTTCAATAATCTAGATATTCCTCTCATTTAGAAAGCAAGGAGGAAGTGTGTAAGTGACTGTCTTTTATAATAAAATATTGTAAATGATACATATCAGTATAAATTTTATCCTGAAAATGTCTTAACATCATCATATCTATCTAAAGAGGGTGAAATATTGATATATGTGATAGCATATTGGGAATTTGGGCATTTGTTTAAAAAAAAAAAAAAATCAAGCCACAGTGTTAAATTTCATTATTTTTAGACTTTTTATATTAAAGATATTATTTCCGCACTAGAAATGTATTCCTGGTTGTGTGTTCAAACATGTCATGGTTGGGAGGGCTTGGAAATAAACGTTTGTTTTTATCAGAAAATTTGCAATTTTGCATGATCAGAAGTACGGTATTATTTACAGCTGAATAATTAGTTGGTAGTGGACACAGAGTACATTAGTTGGTCCATCATCACCATCTCCTCATGTTAATGAGGATAACAGACAAACTGTGCACAAAGTGGCTATTAAGTCTTTTCAAGCAGTCATTTGCAGCAGTTTACACTGAAATGATAGTTGCAACACTGATGTCAAGTAGTCTGTTTTAGTGTATATTATAAATATTATCCAATGTTATGCTTGTCATGTATACTATTTCTCAAAATAAGAGTTTTTGAGATTTGATCAGTTCACTGCAGTGTATTGATCAGTTATGCTATTGTGTTTGCAAACATTATTGATGGTAATAAAGTTGAATACAGCAATTTATTTAAAATGACTCTCTGTTGAGAGCTGCCAACCTGTTAAAAAGTGTTAGCAGGTTCTAATCCAGTGTTTTCAGATTTAATACTGTACCTTTAAGTTCTCAAAGTTTAATGATACTACCACCTACCCTACTTGACCCGTGTGTAATCCGGATTCTGGTCCAAGGTACAGTGTGGGGGAAACCCTGTAGTTCTCCAGGCGGCCTGCCGGTGGCGCTGTTGACTGTGAAGTGCAGCACAGACGCCATCTTGAGGACACACCGAACGGTGTTGGTGGTGACTGACAACAATCTCAGGCGCATCATGATGGAATTACTCACCTACAAGTGAAACGGCATCACATCAGTTTCGGGTTGTAGACGTCACGGGAACAGTAGAGGAGCTGGCCGGCGAATGTTCACCGCTTTGGGTTGGGTTTTTCTTTTCAAAGAGAGAGGCTGCGCTGTAGCCTGATGGCCGGCTAGCTGCTCTCTGGACTCCACCGCGGCCTGCACGGGAGGAGGAAGGGTGGTGACGGCGCAAAATGCTCTACCGCTGACTCCCAACAAGACAGTTATCCTACCCAGAGACTCGCTGCGAGTTGGACGACGAGCACGATGCACTTATAGATTTTTTAACGCTCTTAACTTTCCGGTTTTCTGTTGTCTGTAGAGGCTCTGAACGACAGTAAGCGCCGTCTTGCGTACCCCGAATTCCCAGCCTGAGACATGTCATCCAACTGCACCAGCGCAGCGCCTGTCAGCGCTAGCAAAACCAAGACGAAAAAGAAGCATTTTATAGGACAGAAAGTGAAATTATTCCGTGCAAGCGAGCCCATTCTCAGCGTTTTAATGTGGGGTGTCAACCATACGGTAAATACATCTTAAATGTCTTGTTGTCGCTGGCGTGCGGTTTGTTTATGCTGCTGTTTTGATTTAGCTAGCCTGCTAGCTTGTTAGCCAACTGCCCTCAACTGTCAAGCCAGCTTTGATGCTTTCAGTCGCCATGTAATTTGTCTATTTCATGGATATTCGCCAAGTGTTTAGTAGTGTGCTTGCACAGAGATTCGCTGACTGACTCACTGCTGAGCTAGCAGCATCCATACAGTTTACAGTGCACTGCCGCTGCCATGGTAGTTAGCCGCGGTTTGCTGTTCCTGAAGCGTGCGTTTTGCAGCGATTTAAAGTGTATCTGTTAAACACTGCAGCTTTGGCATGATTACCGGAAAATTAACATGTTCATGGCAGATTGTATAGTCTTACTCAAAGCACAGCGACAACTATCTCCAGTCTTAAATCCTGGATGGCGAAGTGTTTGGGAGCCAAGTCATGATCTGCGGCTGCTGTAGTGCAGGCATGGAGTGGGAGGGGTGTGACAAGCAGCCGGAGCAGCAGGTTACACAGATTTCAGGCTCCACAGCCGCAGACTATTGTTTAAATAAACCTGCTCTGGGCTATCGTTTGCAGCTCCTGTGCTCGTTGCCTGCATCCAGTTGCTGCATTTCATTCCATCACATCAATTCCCCTATATATAGAACAGAAAATATATCACATTCACTTTTGGCTGAGGCTGCCTATTGCTATGAAAAGCAGAGTGAAGGGCAGATTCGACACCCGGTGATGGATGGAGCGGGTTTGCAGTCCGGTTTTTGCCTAATCTGCAATACACCTTCAGCTGTTTTGTCAGACACCCACACTTTGATGCATGAAAGTTAGTCTCTCCCGTTTGACGGGGAACTGTGTGCAGGGCCGAAACTTTTTGATTTGTTCTGAATGGAAGAGTACTTGGTATCTGCATTACAACAAGGAGTGATTTGTTCCCAAGCATCTTCTTTTCAGTTCCCTTGAGGTACATCACTGTATGATCAACACTGTCAGGGACAAATCAGTCAATAATATTTCTGTGGTAAACTGACTTCTCTTCTTCTGGTCTTGACTCGCTGTTGGAAAATTACCACACACACAAACATAGCAGTGAAACATGAAAGTAACTAGAAGATGATTAATTTTCAAAACTGCTGACAGTGACAGCAGCCACAGCAGATTTTACACTGTGACTGTGGGAATTTGTGTGTGTGTCTGTATCAAACCATGCTGATTTCTGCAACCACCACAAACCTTTGCTAGCCTCTTAAATGAAATAACATGGTGAATAAAATGCAACAACCGAGGAATTAATGAAGCAGCTAATGATATGGTTATCACTGCAGCATCTCCAGTATTCAGTGGGTGAACTTTGGCTGTGGGTGTGTGGGTGCAGCACACAGGCCTGGTGATTTGAGGTGTGGGTGGGAAGCCGATTCAAGACATCAAACGGACTTGTCATCAAAGCACTCTTCTTTCACTCAGAAACTGTATGCATTTTTAATAGTGCTCTAGCTGTGATGCTGGGGGACTTTACTTCCACAAATTGTCACTTGGTGTTTAGGTGATGTACTACACCACCTGTTTGATGCTGTTAATCCTCCATAAAGCAGTTTGATATGTTTTTAAATGTCATGTCAGCAAATAATTGCCCTCTCAGATCCATCACAGCTTTAAGGTAAGGGAGTGTTTGTATTTTACTGCACTTCTCTTTCATTGAAGCCATTTAGCATTATTAAATGACACTTTAACAACAACACACTGAGTCTGATGTTTTTAAAAGACACAATTTGTTCATATAGAAAGCTAAAGTTGAAATAAAACAGTGGCATATTTTCACGTCTTAAAGTTATTGTTCACTTTTTTGATCAATTTAATTTTATTGCACTACTTTTTAGGTCATATAATTAACATTGGCAGCAAAAGTGAAGTCTGGAATAAAATATTTTGTTGTTGTTTATATTCTTGAATCTGGGAGTAAAAGCTTGGAATCAGATCTTTCACTGAAATTAAATATTACTTCAAGCAGCTATTCCACTGGTATAATAGTACATTTCCATGGCAGTAACACTAATACATGATGTGTCTGTTGTTTGTTATGTTGTTGTATTTCCTCAAAGGCTGTTTGACTCAGCTATCTCCCTGGTGACAGTGGTATCTCTTCAATCTTTCCCCCCACTTTCCCCTGTGTGGCTGTTGACTTGATTATGTGCAAGGAGAATTTTCTGAAGTGCATCAGTGCGCGCTTTTGCTCTGGACTTGTTTCAGCAGATAAGATCAGTGTCTGGGGCTTAGCAGCAGAGGCAAGAAAAACTGTCAGCCGCTCTCTGTTCCGAAAGTTAATGATTGGTGCTGGTAAACACTCTCATGCAGAGATTTGGCTGCATGTTTACGGGTCACATGAAACTGACAATACATATTGTGTTTAAAAACAGAGGTGTGTTACAGGTAGTCACAGCTCTGTTCTGATTCAAATGCTTCACACAAATCTTTCTCAGTTTGATCTTAATCATATAATGTTGCAGGCAAAGTTTGTCTGAGCATATTTTTACGCTGCGCCCTTATTGAAAAGTCAGTATTACTGCTTTGATTTCTTATCATTCATTGTACCATTTGTTGTATATATCAACTGTTTCCTCTGTTCTTCAGTCTCTCGTCTGATCTCTCGCTCTCTTTCTCACCTCTCTTCCTCAGATTAACGAGTTAAGTAATGTGCCTGTACCAGTAATGCTGATGCCAGATGACTTTAAAGCCTACAGTAAGATCAAAGTGGACAACCACCTATTTAACAAGTAGGTACATCACAGCTTATACACTGTCAGCACAATCTGTTAAAGGTGCAATCTGTAATCCAGGTGTAAACAAAAAGATCACCCTACCACCAGAGTTCAAAACACCTGCTGTCACTCCCAAAATGACTTGCAGGTTTTTTTTTCTTAAAATCATGATGCTACTGTTATAAATGTGATTATATTCACACTGAGCACTTTATTAGGAACACCTGTATGCTTGCTTAGTAATGCAATTTCTGAAGCTGCTGATCTCACACACAACAGTCTAAAGTTTAGACTGTGAAAATGATGTAAAAAAACGAAAAAAAAAAAAGCATCCAGTGAGCTGCATTTCTGCAGACGGAAATGCCATGGTAACTCAGATAACTACTCTTTACAGTATGGTGAGCAGAAAAGCATCTCAGACTACACACTTGAGTTGTAGGGGTAGAAATCTGAAAGGCTGCAGTGGGCACAAGCTCACCAAAACTGAACAATTGAAGACTAGAAAAACGTAGCCTGGTCTGATGAATCTGGATTTCTTCTGAGGCAGCAGATGGTAAGGTCAGAATTTGGTGTCATCATGAAGCCATGGACCCAAGCTGCCTTGTTTCAACATTCCAGACTGGTGGTGATGGTGTAATGGGGTGGGGAATGTTTTCTTGGCACTTTGGTCCCTTAATACAAATCAATCATTGTTTGAATGCTGTAGCCTATCTGAGTATTGTCGCTGACCATGTGCATCCCTTTATGGCCACAGTTTGCTATGTTCTAATGGCCCCTTCCATTATGATAAGTGGAAATCATGAAAGCGAGTTCAGTGAACTTCAGTGTCCTTCTCAGTCTCCAGATCTGAAAACATGAGACAATGGAGATATTACTGCAGGGTCAGGTTGTAGTCACAAACAGATTGTTGTCAAAGCTCCGCTTAATTCAGTAGCTTTGCAATTCAAATCGTCCTCGTTGCAAAGTAGCAGTAAAGGACTGAAACAGGATGGTGTTTTCTTTAAACCTGTCAGGTTGAGAATAGTAGCTGTTTGTGTCCATTGTACGCTATTTGACCATCACATTGCATTTAGTTTCAACTTCAGAGTCCAGTTGCTTTTTGTTTATGCATTTTATCTGTGTTTGTTGTCATGGTTTGAAGACAATTAATATTGCAGTTTGGTTTTGTCTGTTTGGTGCATGAGGCTTTAAATTGTTTTAAAATGATCAAAGTGAAAATTTCCAGACTAATTTTACAGCTTTTATATGGAGTTAATTTTGTCAAGTCAAGAGAAACTGAAAACAAACAACCAGCCAACAATGATTTTTATCATCAAACACAAAGAAACGTCAGGGAGATTCTGTTTTTTTTTATTTATTTTTTATTCTTATAACTGTGGCTGATTTGATTTTCATTGTAACTTTGCACTCGCTATCTCCTTCGTAGAGATTCAGAGATGTAGAGGTCAGAATGGCCACAATTTTGTGAATGAGACCCAGGTTTAAGAAAACAGAAATACCCTTTATGCTGGCATCTACTGACACTTTGATGTTGTATGCAAATCAAAATATCTTATCTTTCAAAATTCAGGTCTTTGTCAATTTTGTTTGGTTTGCTGTTAGTTTGTTGTTTTGTGAGCATATATTTCTTAAACACATGCTATCTGCTGCTAGGAATACAAGATGTCCAAAGTAGAAAGAGTCAAAATTAATCATTTATGTACGTTTACTCAGGACATTTATATAGACTTAGTTGACTGAACTAACTGTGACTGAAACTGTTTCAACACCTAAAGCTATCACGACTAAACAAATGTGTTTGGAAAATGAGCTGATGTGTAGCTGTAAATGTCGACTCTACATTGTGTTATTGTTTGTGCATAATTGAAACAGAAGCAGAAATAAAGCCAACAATTAGTCTTCTTCCTCATTTCCACTAATGAGCCTCTGTGCTCCTGTGTGTCGTGCTGACTGTGTGACTCTCTGTTCCTCCACCGTCAGAGAAAACCTGCCTAGTCGCTTTAAGTTCAAAGAGTACTGTCCCATGGTGTTCAGAAACCTGAGGGAGAGGTTCTGCATCGATGACCAGGACTACCAGGTGAGACACTTGGGGCTAAGAGATACAACAAACTTTAATAAATGAACTCTTGGGGAGTTTGACATTTCTACTTTGAAGTAAGAATGTGTCTGGATGTCTTTTCTTCGACAGAACTCTCTGACGAGGAGCGCCCCTCTCAACAGTGACTCCCAGGGTCGCTTCGGCAACCGCTTCCTGTCCAGCTACGACCACCGCTTTGTAATCAAAACTGTGTCCAGTGAGGACATTGCTGAGATGCACAACATCCTAAAGAAATATCACCAGGTACAGGCCCTCCCACACACTTTTGACTCAGTACTTCAGTATCATTAATGTGGTTACATGTTGAGAATGAGTGTACTGCAGGTGTTTTCATGTCTAAGTGTTCACTGTTTACATTGAGTTTAAGAGAGAAATGTATGAGCATCAGTCTGTGAAAATAATTAGAAATATGTTTCTTTCACTTGAATCTGAACTCACACACACATGTAAATGATGTAGAAATGATATGACTGTAGAGTCATCATCAGTTTTCATTACTGTACATTTCATTCCTCACTCCCACACTTCCTGTTCCTCTCCTCCCTTGATTGTCTCCAGTTTATAGTGGAGTGTCATGGCAACACACTGCTCCCTCAGTTCTTGGGCATGTACAGACTAACAGTGGATGGGGTGGAGACCTACATGGTGGTGACCCGAAATGTATTCAGCCATCGCCTCACTGTACACCGCAAATATGACCTGAAGGTAGGATATGTAGGTTACCTGTACATGTGTGATGTGCAGCTATTAGAATATGTCTTGGGGACGGGATTCAAGAAATATTGAGTAAAAAAAATTTTTTATCATTGTGGTTAAATGTTTAAAAACTCTGAACTGTGTCAAAGTATAAAAGTATTTGGATTTTTTAAGCAATATATGACAAGTAAATGAGAACAACAATGAAAATTTATGAAATAAATAAATAATCAAAAACAAAATTATTAAATAAAATTATGAATAAATATTAAAAGAGAAAACAAAATTTGAATCCATTATTGAATAGGCACCAACAGTTTTCAGCAATCATTTATGTGGAGCCAAATATTTTTACATCTTTCTCTGTTTTATATGATTATAAATTTAGCATTTAAATTTTTAACGGAACATTAACTGTGAAAGTCTGAAAATCAGCAAATTAATTAATGATAAAACCTGTCTTAAGTTGTAATCATTAGTTGTAGCCTGTTGGAACACTGTAATTTTAAGTGAAGGTAAAATTTTAAATTATAAATGATTCACTTTATTGCTTAAATGCCTAATATACAGCGATCATGGGCCATGTCAGCAGTTGAAAAATGCTGTTATGAAGGAAAAACATGGACTTTGTCTTGTGATACTTTTTCATGTTAAACCTGGGCGGCAGAGAAAGATGTGAACAGTTTCCCAGACCTCTGTAGCTTGTTTGCTGGTTTGCAGTCCAGTTGCATTGTGGGTAATGTAGGCACCAGCTTTTGATGGAGTACTCTTTTAAAGAAATTTGCTGAAATTTTCATCCTGAATTCAGTTCATTAAAAGCATATAGGACATACGTTAGAGCCTGTACAGTTGTCACATGTGATTAAAGCTTCAGATTATAGTGTTCACTTCTGTTTGTGTTGTGATTGTTTGACACTGAGGAAGATCTGTGAGGAAGATATGCCTTGGTCTCGTTTTGTCTATGATGCATCAGGGCACCTGCTTTGCATCACAACTGTTTCATCATTTATGTACAATATTCTGAATGTACCTCTTTAACATGTGGGTAGTGGTCTGTAACAAACAGGGAGTGAATGTTGATTTAAATTTTTCGTCTGACTGACTTAATCAACTGTAAATAGGCTGTTTAGTTTTTTCAGAAGGAGGAAAAGGGCAAATCAGTGACTTTAACTAGGGAAATGTTCATAATCTCATCCTAACCCTAAAATTTAATGGAGATTATAAATACAGCTCATCAGTAAAATTAAATAAAATATAATGGTGCACTGTTTCCAGCAGCTGTGAACACAGCATACAGACTGCACACTTCTTTACCCCCCCTACAAAAAGTCCTTTATAGGACAGGCCTTTCTTGCTGCCAAGTATTCTCTGGAGAAAACAACCTGAGCTTTCTAACATTGACAGTTTAAAAAAATGCTGAGGATAAGAAGGTAAGATGCTTACAATCCCACTGATGTGTCTGGAGCTGCTTTCAATTAATTCTATTTTTACTCTTATTTTCCCTTGTTTTTAGGGTTCTACAGTCTCAAGGGAAGCCAGCGACAAGGAGAAGGTGCGTTTTATTTCTGTGCAGTAATGGCTGCTGACGTGATGGAACAAAAATAAAAAAACCCTTAGCTCACCCCAGAGGCAAACCTGTCAAATGACAGCTAAATTAAGTAGTTATAAGCAAGCAGATGTATTTCAGTAGTAACATTTGTACTGCCCTTTGTACTGTGTAAAGCTCAGTTTTTAGACAGTTACTTACTGTCAGTTATTGCAGTGTGACTTCTGCCACTCAGGCAGACCAGGAAACAGTGAAAGACCATTGATTTTGACCTTTATCTCTATGTATTTGGTATAATGTGACTCTTATGAACTGCAATACCAGTTTGTATTGTCTTTATCTATTGATCTCCTAAAATCTTACAGCTATCTCTAATTAGCCACATTACCAAATAAAACTGATATTCTAAATATGGATAACCTTTTTTTGGACATGAAAGTTTCTCCTGTTACTGTTTGATACCATGACACTGTCTCTCTTCAGGCTAAAGAACTCCCCACTTTCAAAGACAACGACTTCCTGAATGAAGGCCAGAAGCTACAGATAGGAGATGACAACAAGAAGTACTTTTTGGAGAAGCTAAAAAGGGACGTAGAGGTAAGAAATACACTGCATTCAGAAAGTGTTACATTTTTTTAGTTTGTTATGTTGCACAGTTTGTATGCTAAAATCAAAAAAATCCTTTTTTGTCTTCCCTGAAAGATTGACTATGATGTATAACTATAAGAAACCCAAGCTGGAGATATGCCAATGAAGCATTGGACTGAATGTTTTCTGGGTGTGTCATATGTGTTTGTCAGTTCTTGGCCACCCTGAAGATCATGGATTACAGTCTCCTGGTGGGTATCCATGATGTGGAGCGGGCAGAGCAGGAGGAGATGGACGTGGAGGGTGTGGGAGAGGAGGAGGAGTACGAGAACGATGGGATGAGTGGAGGCGTGCTTACCGGCTCCTTCGGCACGCCTCCAGACAGCCCCGGAAACCCTCTCAACTGTGGAGGATTCTTCGGCCCCGGGGAGTTCGACCCCTCTGTGGACGTTTACGCAATCAAGAGCCACGACAGTGAGCGTTGTCTTTGACATCCATCTGACATAGTGACCATAGCTGTAGCTTCATATTAAGCACAGGCAGATGAAATTTGCAAGATACTGTTTTTTCCCTGTTTGTTTATTTCCCTTAAATTCCAGGCAACTATTCTCCATAACAATTAAACTTAATCTTCTTTATTGGCAAAGTCAAGAGTCCTCCAAACAAATGAGTGGAACAGTCAAAGCTGCATGCCCCAAACAATAGTAGTAGAGATGTGCGTCACACTAAAGCAAAGAAACAATAGCATGGCAGCTTTTATCACTATATCTTCAGTTGAAAGTAAAAACTTGTGATTGTTTTTTTCGTGCTTAGGTGCTGTGAAGAAGGAGGTATACTTCATGGCTATCATCGACATCCTCACGCACTATGATGCTAAGAAAAAAGCTGCACATGCTGCCAAAACTGTGAAACACGGGGTGAGTGCAAAGACCAGTACATGATTTAGCCATTGATGGTTACACATAGAGAAGGAAGAAGCGTGTAGAGCTAATATAAAAAAAAGAAATTGTGCAATAATAGATATATAGATAAATAAATATTTTTATAATATTTTAAAACATTCTGAAGAAATAGGCACATGAATGCATATATTTGAACGTTTTTGTAAATTGTTAAACTCAATGTATTATTATAGAATGCTGTTTTATCACTATCTTTCATCCTGACAGAGTTTTATTAGATATAGTTTTTATTTCAAAATGCCCTTTTTCATAAGCGTATTAATTTCAGTCACTTTTAATTACAGTTTTCGCCTGTGTCTGCTGTGCCCTCAGCCTACCAGCAGGCTAACAGTCAGCAAGCTAGCTAGATCCAGTTAGCTTGAACGTACAAAGAGAGAGAGTTTTTGCTCTCCACAAAGTTGTGTCTTTTTCTGAGAATAGCAAGACAGCTGAGGTAACTGAATTAATGAGCTAGCTGCTGCTGCTAACATTGACTCTTAACTTAAATGCTGAGTAAAAGTCCTGAAAGAAAAGTGATTTATAACATTATACATGGAATACATTTAGGATTTTTTATTTTATTTTAAAAGGACCATGTACAGCTTTCAACATAAATGTGTCCATTTGATGTGCCGCCCCAGATTGTAACTTCAAGCTAATTTGCATATTGAGTCCCTTGGCAGGTCTGACTTGGACTGCTAGATTGACAGAACAAGAAAGTAAACTGTGATATTATCTGACTGATTAGTAGAACTGGGTGTTACAATCCCTGGTGTTTCTGCACTGCACTGACTTGAGTTGGGTTGTTCTTGGAGATGACCACTAGAGGATGTTGCTACTATTATGACACATTGTCAGTGTCATAATGACATGACATTTTATGGACATAATGAATAAATGTTAAATTGTAACAAGTATCACCAAATTAATCTTTAATGAAAACAGTTTTATGATGGTCTATAAATATAACAAAGCAAGTGGGATTTTCAAGCTGTGCATTTTGGCTTATGTAGCACAAACAAATAATTGTTCCATATATCTCATATTTTCCCTTTTTTGTTGTTTCTCAGGCGGGGGCCGAGATCTCGACGGTGAACCCAGAGCAGTACTCCAAACGATTCTACGAATTCATGTCCAACATCTTATCATAGACTCATCTCCCATCTCCCAGTCCAGCCAGTCACGTCCTGTCATAGATCTGTCAAATGCCACGCACTTATTTCACTTCTCTCTCACCTCAGTGTAGGTTCATCTCCCCCCGGCCTCTCTGCTCCCTTAAAAAGAACTGACCAGTATCCTCCCACAGCCAGGACCAGTCTGGCAGGATGGATGCACTGAGCCTGTTACTCTCTCACAGAAACACACCACCATCTCCTCCCTGGTTCTCTCATCCTCTGCAAGGATAACTTGTGAAGCCCCTCACTGAATTTGGAACGACATCCCGATAATCTCCCTGTCCTTTTTTATTTTATTTATCTGCGCCCCAGTCCTCCTCAGCCATCTTGCTACTCCTCACGCCAGCACGGAAACTGTCTCACTAATGCCTTGAACGAGTGTGTCAGCTTCAGCGGTTAACAGTCCGTTAGTAAAGTCTCTTCGGTTTCTGTTCATGTTGTTGTTGTTCTTATGATTTCTATTAGACAAAAACACACACACACACACACACACACACACACACACACACGCACACACGCAGATGTAAACAACACACACTCGCACAGATGCAGAATGGTCAGATTGCATGACAAACTCTTTGACAGTCGCCATCAGGCTTCTCTCTCAGCAGCAAAAAAAAGGACAGCTGATAAATTGGAATGACAGGGGATAAACACATTAATATATAATGGTGTATTAAGTAAATGAATGCAATATCAAAAATGCATGGCTGATGTGTACATGAGACTCCACCAGTAAGTTGAAACATCAAACCACTGAAAATTAGCATCTGAGTGTTATGACTAAAACAAAAAACTAGAAAAAAAATTGGTGTTTGAATGTTACGTTGCCATATTGTTTTTGAATATTTTTGAAATTTTAACCGTGAGCTTGGTGGAGGTCGGTCTAAGAAAAAAAAATTGACATTAAAAGGGGAATTCTGCAGCAAATACTTGTTTTATTACCATGAGGATCATTTTTATATCTTGTTTACATTAATGTAGCAATTTTGTGTTTGTATACAGTATTGTTTTGTTACCAACAGACATTAGAAAAAAAGGTTACTTGAAAATGATTCATTGCATATTAAAGGGAGTTTTATCTTGTTTTTGTTGTTTGGCTTTGCTCATTTCTCCAGTGACTGTTCATCTATTATTTTCAGTTTGCGCTTTTGTCTACAAAACTTATATAATGTGCTGCTAATGAATATTCATCAAGGCCTACTCCGTCACATATCTACATCCAGACTAAGCTTTTCATCCAGGTATTTAAATTTAATATAACCTTTATCCCACCTTGTCTATTTATTTTGGCAATATGTTTGAAAAAGTATCCTTAGCCTCAGCTTGGTGTGTTTGGATGCTGCAGGACAAGTTAAATGTGAAAGCTCATTCACCTTGAATAAGTAATAGTAGTAATTTAATAGTAATAGTAATTTGACATGAAGAAAATTTTTTTAGATCACACGATCTCCATGACAACTGAGAAAGCATCATCCCCTCCAGAAGACCATTAGATAGATAGATATTTTATTTATCCCCTAGGGGAAAATCAAGAATGAGATGCAGTTGAAAGCACCAGAAAAAAGCTAGTAAGTAGACCTTGTAAAGATGTTTTTGTCAAAACACCACAAAAGATACAGGGGAGAAGTATTTCATGAAGAATTATCAGGTTAAATTGAAGGAGTACTTAAGCGATTTAGTACAGCAGAATAGTTTAGGGATACAAGAGTCTTTTAAAAAGATTTTAAAAATGATTACAACTTTAGGAGCAGGGGCCCAAGTATGCCTCAAACTGAAAACATTGCTATATCCTACAATTCCCACAATGCAGCTTGGTAACCTATTTACATTGGACGCTTGCTGGCAAGTAAACTCTCATGTCTAATAAACTATATGAAGCCTGTAAAGGAGGCTCTGAAAAACAAGTCTCAAGCTGAGATATCTTTAACATTTAGACTTTTATAGAAAGTTCTTCAGAGCCACAGAAGATACTATATAACTGTTTTTATGGGCTGAGAGGTACGACTCATGAATAGTAAAGAAAACTTCATAAAATTGGTGAAATACTGTTTAAAAGTTTAAATTTCCTTTTAATAATTCTCTTTCATTTTATATATCTAAGTATGTGTCAGAATTATGTTCCTACATCTAATACTCCAGTCTTGTTTTACAGACAATATCACCGAAACACAGAATGATGTTTATCACCATGTGGTTTGTGGTTAGTAATCCTGGATGACAGGGGACATTTGAATTCACTAGCCTGTGTCCAAGCAAAATTAATGAGAAAAAAAACTTTAAAATCCTTTTGATCCCCTGTGTTGTCAGTTGTAAATACAACCCTGACATTGGGATTGGCCCTTAAAGATTCTCTTTGACAAAATGTCACAGATCATAGCGTGCATAGTTGTAAAGACAACTGCATGCCTCTGTAGTGAGTCATTAGTCTGGTGCCACATAAACCATGAAAAGTTCAGTTAATGAACTTTCAAAACTATAGCTACTTATGTCTGTAACAACACAATGCATTAAGTGTCATCTAAACCAACAATCATCACCTTGGATCACATATTAAATCCAGTTATCAAATATGACACCTTGGTTTGGTGCAGACAGAAGTTCTTAACATGACATGAATCAATTTCACTGTTTAAACCTACGTTTATTGAACAATATCAATAAGAAAAAAAGAGTACAAGCATTGTTTATTATTTTTATACAAAACGTGTTGGTCAAGTGTGGGAAGAAACAGAAGCCCTAGTCCATCCTGGCCTTCAGGGTTCGTGTGGTGATCTTGTCTTTCTCACTGACAAAGAGAAGAAAAGGCTGTCAATCACTGCAAACCTGTCATTCCACCTCACCCTAACCCATGCATACCGTGCTTGTTATTATTGTACTTACATGACATGTACAACGACTCCCATGCCAGACACCGCATCCCTGTCAACTGCGTTCAACATCGCCTGGGAGATGGTCTCAAACAGATCGTCTGGTTCCTGCGTAATCAAACACATTTCTCAAAATTAAGTCATGAATTTTAACTAACATTAACTAAAGAACATCTGTGGCCAGAGTGGTTGAAACCTTGGTACACCTCACTCATTGTAAAGAGAAGCCGTGTCAATTAGCCTCTCTGTCTCGAATGGTATATACAGACAATAGATAGCTCAGATAGGGACAATTAATTGTATTGAAACAGTCGTTGACTGTAGAAACAATCCTATCTAACCTTGTAACTCTTTCCCAAAATGTTAGGCCTATATCTGTCAATTTTTCACTTACTACATATGGAAATGAATGCTAATTTAATTTAAAAGTACAAAAACGTACACATTAGGTGCCTCATTAGCATGAAGAACACTGCAAACTTCTTATCTGCAAAATTAGGGTAATACTCATTTACACATCTATAAACTGATACTAACTGTTGTTTAGCATCCAGCAACCAACCCACAGGCGTGACAGTGACTTCAGACTTCACACACTACTTACCATGTCCGGCTCCCACAAAGATTCACACATGCCGTACATCTGCTCTGAGCAGGTGCCGCTCACAACAAAGTCTTCTGTCACCATGGGGCAGCCAATCAAATCCAGGGAGCAGATGAATGGCTCCAAGGTTTTGGGATCTAGTCCTGCAATCACAGGCTCGATGTAGTACGGCCCAAACCTAATGAGAGGATCAGACATTAAGCACACTGTCCTTTACCTTCAAGTGGACAGATCTAAAATTAAGTTCAACTCACTCACCTCCTTTCATACAACAGGTTGGAGACCATGCTCATGAAGGTCTTGGGCTTGATCTGGCGACCCTCCTTCAGCTCATACAGGTTTAGTCTAAATTTAAGCCTCTGGGATCTACACAAGATGCAAAGATGTGCAGTTAGCATCAGTGTTATCAAAGAGATGCTACATATGCATCAGTCCTGATACATTCTACATTGGATATTACTGCAATTATCAATAAAGTTGACTACTGTTAACTGTGTTGCAATGAACTTGGGCTCCAGGCTAAATTTGTGTGTGTTGGTACCATTATTTAAGGTCTGGAAGTTGTCACTCATTTTGTAAAGCTTCAAAGAAAACTTGTCACTATGCCCTGGAGGTGAAAGAACCACTCTGTCACATTAACAGAAAAATAAAATGAGGTTGTAGACACTTACACTGTCTGAACATCAGTGGCCAGTCCAGCAAGCCCAATGTACAGCCTCTCTCCCATGGGGAAGATCTTCTGGAAATCTGTGGTGACCATCTGAGCCTGAATGCCAAATCTCCGGTCTGCTGCTATCGCCACGCAGTTCTTCCCTCGCATGGCCATGACGGCCCCTCCATTATAGTTCATAATAGACTGGATGAAGACAAAAAAGAGAGCAGTATGTCAGTCAGTGCAGAATCAATTAATAGTTCGATTGATTAGTCTGTTGACAGAAACTTCTCAGCAACAGTTCTGATGTATCAATTCATTGTTAAACTAAATTTAAGCTAAATGACAAAATAAGAAGTTTAAATATGTAAATTTGAGCTCAAAGGGACTGTAATAAGTATTTCTCTTTTTACCGATATTTTATTGCAAGTTGGTTAATTGAGAAAAGAACAGATATATTCATTGATAAAAGCAATACTTGTGAGGCAAAGCCCTACTATGAAACATAAGGATGAATAACAATTCTACAATAAGAACCTCAACAGTGGGATTGGGCTGCATGTAAAAAATACAGTAAATAGTACTTAACACATTTAAGTACTATAAGATATTTGTCCACGAAATAATATATGTGCAATATGTTCATTACCTTACATTTCATTTATCATATATTTACAAGCAAAAAAAGCATGTAAATTTCATTATTTCTAACCAACGTGCAGCAGTTATTCAAACTAACGCAAACTAGAACTAACAAAAGAAATAACAGTAAAATCAGAGGTGTGGTGTTGGTACATAGACAATGAACATAAATTTCAATCATAAAAATAATTGTAAATTATGTTTATATAAAATAAAACGACGTTAATGATTTTTGCAGATTGCAGATATGTTAGTTTGCTGCTGACAGTAGTTAACAAGCTTCAGCTCATCAATTTGACAGCTTCTGATCATACGTTGGCTGATGCTGACACAAACTTAAAAAGTTTAACAACAACTGTTTAAATTAACTGCAATAACAGTTATAAAAGCAAAAGTGAATCCAGGAAGCAACATAATGTACGAAATACAACGTTAGCTCATGTGCGTAAGTACTTAGCTTTAAGGCTAATGCCGGCCACTGTTAAATTCCTATTATTCTGTCTTGTTAACTGAAACATTACTTAAAATTTACGTAACCTAAGGACGTTGTGCTAATTTGTAAAACCTAGCGTTAAATCCGTTTCCAGAGGATTTAAACTAACTTAAAAAAGCATGCTAAAGATATATATGAGCTAACAACATTAGCTTAACCGAGCTCTTACTTAGCTATTACTGTTAGCCTTATTACCTCATTTTTAAACCATTCCACATAACAAACTGTACACATATGATCTATGTATGATGTTCTTACCATTGTGAAGGTGTTGTAGTATATTTCTAACTGTGAGAACTTGCAAACACTTCTCAGCTTTTAAAAACCACCTCTAGCTTCCCACAGTGACTACACGATTTAGAAACACAGAAATTTGACTAACTTGCTTTTACAACGTCATCGCTTGCACAAGGGTGATTGGCTGGATGAACGTTAAGTCGGTGCAGGGCGCCACTGTCATTGGGTGATATGGGCGGTGTTGAACGGTGCAGGCATAGTTTGGTTGAGGCGTGTTAAAGTGAAATTAAAACCGGGAGGTTTTTCTTGATAATGCTAGTGCTGTGCTGTGACTGCCAATTTCAGTCCCCTGTGGATCCTCACTGGGTTATTGTTATTTTTTATCGATTCACGTTTCTGTTGCTTTTCTGCTCAGCGAATAATAATGAATGACAATGCCAAAAAAGCACTATCCTACTTCGTACTATCCTTCCCCAAACGATATCAAAACTTATTCAGTTAGTACAAATATTTAGCTAACAGGGCTACCACCTGTTCATATTACCCCAACTGTAACCACTAAATTCAATAAACGACTTACAGTGAATTCTGACAAAATCTTGTCTATTCTTAATGATATAAATCCTACTTCTGAAGATTTTTACTATACTTATTTGAAGTATCATTATCTTCATATCCTGATGATAACAGCTTTCCTGTTCAAAATTTTGCAAGATGAGCTCTGTCATATCAGGTCTGGCACATGCAACCACACTGAAGTTATTTTATGTAACCTGGAGATGTTCCATTGATTATGATGGTGTTGATGTGAGGTTTATGCTTTAAGGTTTGTTTTATTGAGCAGAATCAGAATGACAGAGTGAAGATACAGGTTTGTTTTAAAAAGAAAAAACAAGTAATGGAGCTCTAGAAATATGCTTTTATTCCAGTTGCTACGCACAGGATTACACCAAGTAACAATGATATATATTACAAAAACCTTTTGAGACAAAAGCGGGTCCTATTATACTGTAAAAACAAAAATAGTATACTATACAGAGTTCAGACCATATGAACCTTAAAGGGGTACTGGCTTACTAGAATATAACTAGAACTGATCAGCCATGATAGACTGTTTGCATTTGTCTGAAATATAAATTATGGTCCCAGTGTGGAATTTGCTTTTCAAAGTAAAAGCCACACGATTCCCTGTTTGAATTCCACACCATCCATCCTTCTGCCTCAGTACATTAGAGACAGATAAACGAGGTGATAACACACTCTTTACAAGTGTATCCAATCAGTTCATGCACTGTGTGATAAAAGTGTTGTGTCTTCATCTCTTCATGAAGTTATCCAAGGAGGCTGGTGTCCTCTGAATGGAGTGGATATTCCTCTTCACTCTGTCTTCTAAGGAAGAGCTGGCAGCACTCTCCAACTTCATGTTACTGCAAGAGAGAAAGGTGTAGTGTTACTGAAGCTGGAAATTAGCTGGAAACAAGAAAGATCAAAAGCAGGTAAACATTATTACTGTGTTTAAAACAGAACAAGAGACATGAGTGCCAAAGCATCACACCTTCATGTTGCTCAGAAACTTACTGGATGAAGCCAGCATGGCGGTCATGTTTGGTATTTTGTTCCCGCTGCCTTTCCTGCTCGTCTTGCCTCTTGTATCTCTTCACATTATTCTCCCTGTCCTCCTCCCTCTGCTTGGCCTCGTCCATCATCTCCCTCCTCTTTCGCTCCAGGTCTTCTGCAGAGAGCTTCCTACGCCAGGCAGAAAAAATAACTGTGAAAAATTACTGGAATCGATTCAGTGAGAGCATCAATTAATGCACTGAGTAACAGATTACTATTCAAACAGCATTTTCTGATTACGTTATCCCAAATAACATAGTCAGAAAAGTACAAATTAACACAAGTGGAGAAATTCAACTTTTGTTGCAGTGGCATTTTGTACATTTCTAGAGCTTCATCGGTCTGTGATTACTCTACCAGAATTTCCACTGCACACTCCACTGTTTGCTTGGCAGCACATGCTCATACACTTTAAATCTACTTGTATTTACAGCTTTGAAAACAATAAGCTCTGATTGCACAAAATGTGTATATAACATGGTAGTAACATTACAGAGAGGATTTGAGATTGACAACTAACATTGTAATAATAGCAAAATGGTAATATGAATCGCATAATTTCCTCTGCATGTAATTATTTTAACCAAAATAATTCAGTATTTGAACTATAGCCATTCATTTGGCATGATCAATGACTGTACAAGTGCAGTGTATATACTTTCTGAAGAGCTGTGAACTCATACTTGGACACGTTGTTCCTCTGTCTCTGGTAACGCTCTCTCTGGGGGCTGGAAGCTCTGGGCTCGACCTTCCTGTCGCTTCTGTGTGAGGAAGAGGAGGAGGAGTGATTGTCCCTGTAATGCCTGTGAGGCGATCTGGAGCGGCTCCTCTCACGGCGCCCTGAGTAATTGGACGGAGCTGAGGACTGGTGATATCTGCCAGCAGGGAGCTGAGAGGAAAAAAGAAAATGTTAGGACTTAAACAGGTCCTGGTCCAGTGAGAAATGAATCATTAAAATCACAGGTTACATCTCTGCTTCTTACTGACCTGTAGCCCGTAGCCTTGAAGATGATGGGAACGAGCCTTGGTGTCTGCTGAGGAGTCATCTCGTGAATGTGACCTTAAAATAGGCCGAAGACGATAATTAAAACAATTAAGACTTAACTAATTAATTGAATGTCCTCCATGTGCCAAAACATGCCAACATGGTCTTTACCATATATGTCATTTACTGTGCTCGTTGAGCACACATAAATCACATATATACTGTATGTTCCAGTTATTTCTTAAACAAGCGCCTTACATACCTGTGTTTTTTCTCAGCTTCCTCGTCTGAGCTTGAACTTGAACTCCTTCTCTTGTGCTTCTTCTCCTTCCTCCTCTCTTTGTCTCCTTTCTTCTCCTTTTTGTCCTTCTTCCTCTTCTTTTTCTTGTCTTTCTTGTCAAGATTCTGGCGCAGCTGTGAGAGAACCAACTCATGTTTTACCATGAAAAACAAATCCTTGACAAGCTCCTTTTCCCAATAGGGTACCACTTTTCTAACACAACTGCAATTGTCTTGTGAGAATTTAGTTTGAACATTGCTGAAAAATGCCAAGAAGGCCAACACATGCAAAAACATCTAACTAAAAGAACTTTTGTCAAAAGTTAAAACATCTTAAAAGGGTTAGGGGTAGGATTAGGGTTAGCCCTAACCCTACAAATGCCAACATTAAAATACATTTTCCATTAATTATCATCAAAATAGTAATTTTACCATTTCTTTGATCCTCTTCATCTTCACTGGATTAGTCAAGACTTCCCTCTTCTTTTCTTCCTCACGTTTCCTTAACAACACAAACAAAATATAAACTAATTTGCCACAATTAAGCACCATTCCAGTACAAATTACATGAAACTTACCTGATTTCAAAGAGGGGGTCTTCCCTGATCTTGGCAGCCAGGTCGAGGCTGGAGGCTGGGGTGGTGGGGTTGAAGATAGACCCAGGCAGGAGGCCAGTCTCAGCTGATGGGCCGCTCTCTGGCTCCTCGTATTGGTCGGTAATCTGCTTGTCAACGGGACGTCCCAGCAGATACTCATCTCTGGACACCTGACCTGCAGGTCCCTGGTACATCCAGTCCAGGCGATCATCCTTTTTTCTGTCAGCGTACCAAAAATACAACATGACTTGGATGCTACACTTTTGTCTTAACCACCAAAACATTGTCCTTGATAATCTGAGAGAGAACTAACTTGATGGCACCACTGTCCTCTGCATATCTCGTCATTTCTTCTCGGGCTCGTTCCTCTTTCAGCTCTTTCTGGAGCTCCTCAATCTTCTTGCGTTCAGCCTCATATTTCTGTTCAGCTTTCCAAACACGCTCAATGTTTTTCATAGTCTGGGGATGCCAGCTCTTTTTCAGGTTCTGGCAGAAGACAAGGGAAAACAAATTGTTGCTGTATCAGAGAAAACTATTAGGTGCTATCTTTAGTGTACAAAATTATTTTGAATGGGTTTAACAATAGACAGAATGAGTATAAACGTCTGAAAGCATTCATTAGGTAACAGCAGATTTTAATGAACATGTTTCCCTACTTGTTGGCAATAATGATATGGCCTAATAATAATAATAATAATAATAATCATCATCATCATCATCTACTAGGAATTGATAACGTCTTCAGGTGTATTCAGCACAGTCTGAAGCAGAATGTTTCAAAACAAATCTAATGCTCAGTCACTTATGCTAACATTAAGCTACTGCAAACTAAAGTCGGTAGACTGTTTTACGTTAGTAGTAGCTATGAAAATATCTACTACTCATAAGATGAGTACGACATGCTAAACTGAACTTCAGCTCGTAACAATTCCCAATAGATATTAACTTGTGTTGTAAGGGCTGTGTAGTAACCAATAATGAAACAAATATCTTTAAATACCCATATTCTAAATGAAGTTTGTTATTATCACATTCTATACCGGAGAAAGCGTCTATCGTGGATGAGATAGGTCAAACTTACCAGATCACCGCCCCCCATCTTGAAAAATTCGTCGTTTCAGTCCAACAAGAAATGATACTAGACAAGTTTGTCCTCTAACGATGAAAGGAACAGTGAAAGTTTAAGGCTAGCTAGAAAATGGAGCTACCGAAGATTGTGTGTGATGTTTTTAAAGTACTTCCGGTTTTGTGTGATTCACATTCCGGTTCCAGCTCATGTTGCCTTAGCGTGCCCAGCGTAAACTCCGACATTACAGACGTACCGTCGTGGAAACAGTCAAGAATATGACCAGAGACAGTAGAGAAAAGTATAGAGGATCTTTGATATGACTCAACAGGACTTGGTGGTGGTTTTGGTTACAATAACCACAGCTATACACATTTAGTTGTACAGAAATACATGTAATTGAACTAGTAGTTTAACTATATTTATGACTAACTTTTTGGTTGTTCAACTAGTTTATAGTTATTCAAGTATTTAAATTACCTAAAGTCAGCAACTGGACCCTGAAGGCCACAGATTCAGAAAAGCTTTACTCGGTGGTTCCTTGTTTTTTTTTGGTTTGTAACCCATTAACACAAAGCATGTGGTTTTAATGTGGACATAAGTTATTAGCAGTTTAACCACACAGGCGTTTGTCCTCAGTTCCATTTGAATGTGTTTTATAGGCCCGAAGAGGTGAAAGTAAAAAAAAAAAATGCATCAGAGAAAAGTCAGGGAAAAAATGTGTAACAAATATATATTTTTGGTTTCTTATTCCTTTAATCATCTTCTGACCACACCAATTCATTTTGGGATCCCACGGGCTGTCCAGAATCCCCATGGAAACCAATGGTTTAACTACTGCATTAAAAACAACCAAGAATAATTATAATGCAGAATAACCACCTCTGATCATACAGAATAGAAAATTTTGGTGTCGTCGACAGGCTCTAAAACATACAAAACTACTTCTACTAGGTAGATTAGTTGTAGTTGTAGTAGTGGTGGAAGCTAATGGGGATCCAAATAAACAATAAACAACAATAAACTACTACACATAATACTACTAATACTAATAAGAGTAATAATGATGATGATGATCGGGGTGGAAAGTAACAAAGTAGGCTACATTTACTTCAGTATCTGTGCTTTACTTGCATATAATTTTTTTTTAATTTTTTTTTTTACAAACTTATGACTTTTACTCCACTACACTTACAAGACAAATATTGTGCTTTTTACTCCACTACATTTCTATGAAGTTCTTGTTACTTTGAAGCAGAGCTTTAAGTCAGCAAAATTCATTTTCTTTTATTTTGAATGATGTGATACAGGACAAAAAATAATCACAGCCAACTCCTACACTGTCAGTCTTGTTGTGCTGCTGCATTTTTGAACAGATCAGTTTGAGCTTGGCGGTGGCCTAATGATGGCTATGTTAGATAAAGATGAGGCAGAAGATTCTTCACCAGAGACCACGGTCTGATCTGAAGTACATGTTTGAAATTTTACAGTTAAAGAAAGATTCCTTTAGTTTTAAATGTTTTCTGTGTTGACCATGAACAAACTTCATCACTACCTACAAAAAAGAAATACGAAAACGACAATAGCTCCTTCTGTTGATTCAGTTGTGTTTTTATGGCTATTTCTACAGGCTTTGAAGCATATCCTACAAGCTTTTTATTCTCCAGGTTCTACAGCCAGTAGACTACAGTCAATTCATTCAGTAGGTTGTTTCACAGTTATTAGGTTTAGGTGTAAATGTGGAACAATACAATGAGTTGACATTGAAAAATGTACTTTTTTAATAGTTTTTGAATTTTTTAAATAATTTGTAAAAGCAAGTACTCCAGTACTTTAACTCAAGTAAAAATTTGACTTAACAACTTTGACTTGTAGTGGAGTAATATTTGACCAGGAGGATCTACACTTTACTTTGACTCAAGTAATGAAGTTGTGTACTTTGTCCACGTCTGATGATGATGACGATGGCCGATGTCTTATTTTGGGAGTACAACACAACAAGCTTCAACACAGACACAGAATATATTTTTTATTTAATAAAGGACAATAATAGATTAAATACAAGTTATTACACCATGATATTTAACTTATTCAAAGTTTTTGAACTTATTTTATTACAGTCTCCACAACTAAAACATTTACTACAGCAACCAATTAAAAAAAATTGTCCATTTTGTTCTACTGACCATAATAAAAGAAAATATCACGAGTCTATCTATAATAACATTAAAAAAATAAAATAAAATAAGTCAATATGTAATAATTGGCTGATGTTTAAGCACTATCTTCCATTTCTTATCTTCTATACATAAATACAGCAATCGTGTGCCTCCAATAATGCAAGCTCCCTAGTTTATAGAAATCTTAGCCTAATGTCTGTGATGGTTTACATACATCCTAATAGTGTTTTAAACTGTAAAGCTGCTCACACTGCTTCCTACAGAACTATTGATCATACAGTATTGATTATGAATGTTAACTATCCAGAACAAATAACCTAAACAATTTTCTGGTTTGTGCATTGTACAACTACATTTTATTACAGTCTTTCTCTGCATGCTAATCAAACGCTAGTCAGACGGTTGTCATGTTACAACAACGCATTTTGCAGAATGATTCGTCAGTGTTGAACACGGAAAAACTGCAGCGTCTGACGCACCAACATCTGCTAATGAAATGTGTTGAGAGAGAAGCCCTTTACTCATTCATCATGACTAGGACCACAGCTTGATCCAACATGCAAATGGTTATTGAGTTCATGATATTTGATATTTGGAAGAGCTGCATGAAGCCACTTCATGAGGAACAGCTGGATAATATTGGTAGGACAACTGTTTGCTTCCACAGAAGCCTGAACCTTTTGAGGCATGAATTTCAGCTCCTTTAAGATTTTCTGCTGCACATTTATGATACAAAAACAGCATCAATTTTTTTTTTTTTGCCTGTCTGCTGTTTGGGTCTAGTCAACTGGCCTACAGTGGCTTTATCAGAACTTTTTTTTGCTGACACCAGCTGCTGGGGGGGGGTTGACCACATTGATTAAGACTTGGACCCCAAAAGAGGGGGGAAAAAAAGACGATTGAAATTCTTTCTTACCTGTATAGCAAATATTACAAAAATATTTCCCATGTTCATGCCTTTATTTTCACTCAGGAATTGAGGAGTTTTATCTGGTTGGGTATTTGAACAATAATAAAATCCATGTGTGCTGAGGGCCAAGTAATTGTATTAGCAGTGGTGGAAAGTAATTAAGTACATTTACTCTACATACTGTACTTAAGTACAATTTTGACATACTTGTACTGTAAGACTTCAGTTCAGTGACCTTTCACCCTGGAGAAGAAGTTGACCCCTCCTGATTGTCATTGTATAATTCGCACTATGAGTGAGACTGCACCAAAACAGTAACACTGTGGACCAGATAGCCAAACAGTGTGCTTGAATATGCTAAAGGCGCAAGTGAAGGGAGCTGCAGAGTTGGGTGATAATTAGCTGTTAGTTTGTCACCATGACCAACAACTTTCACATTACTCAGTCATTTGATCCATTGTTGATCCAAAAAAAATATCGACAAGTGCAGCTTTAAATTTGAGCACCGCATAGGCCACTGGATTAAATTACGTTTTTGGACCTGTGATGTAATGAAGTGCTACTTTGTGCTGGAAGTTTCAGTCAACGCCAGCAACCTGTCCTGACTGGGTGGATCTGTGGAGTCGTGTTTATACAAGATTTGGCCGCTGTCATAAGCATGCCACAACAGAATGCCACAGCTTCATCTAATTCTTCTTACCTGGCAGAGGTCTTCAGCTGCTGTGACCAGTTCAGTCAGTGAGGATTTGTGAGTTTACCGTTTCACATCATTGGTAGCACTTAGTGATTCTTTGCATTGCTGTATTCCATCAGGTAACTTCAACACATGTTCACATTCTCCTACTGTATGATCATTCTCATTAATAAGTGTCATCTATTATATTATATTATATTATATTATATTATACTATATTATATTATGTTATATTATGTTATATTATGTTATATTATATGATCAACATCACATTAGCATTGCATTCTCTGCCAGGTAAGAAGAATTAGATGAAGCTGTGGCATTCTGTTGTGGCATGCTTATGACAGCGGCCAAAT